TTATTTCGAGTAAGGAATAACAATCTCAATATTCGAACTGATCCTCCAAAAATTTATAATTAATATTTTGAAAGATGAAAAAATATATATCTTCTTTTGTTCAAACAAAGCTAAAAGATGTAAAAGAATTTCATGCTAATGCAATGTCCTGCATGCATCTATTCCCCATCCCATGTCAATATCAAAGTCCAACTCATAAAATTTGATGGTCGAATGTGAAGAACATATGAAAGAAAAAATGTAAAATTTACCCTTACATCTACAAACAAGGCACAAGGAGGCATCCAACCTAGGCCACACGAGGGGTAGTGAACCTCTACTCGTGCATGTGAGGATTATCTAGAAATCTACTCACAACAACAACAACAATAATATATGTCCATTTAGGTACCCGATATCTTAAGTCACACCCATCTTAATATGAATATGCACACATAGGATGATAAAAGCAATTTCCGATATTTATAAAGTCTTGGGCTTCATTTATCAAAACATTTCAAGAAATGTTTATCATGATTGCACAATTAAAGCATATAGCAATTAATGGGTACGTAATGTACCATGCAATAAAAAATAAAGTAAGGCTTATAAAAATATAGTATGTACGGATGTATGTTCTCAGTAACTCACCTTATCTCCTAGCTTTTTATTCCACTTCTCTTCAACATGTAACCATCCCCAATCACTGCCTATATAAACCAAAAGTACATTACTATTTTTCTAAAAGTAATATAAGATTTATAAAAACTCAAATTACAAGTTATATTACATAAGGGATGCTTAAAATGGAGTCAAATGGAAATCATGGGAAAAATCACGAAATCCGGAAGGATTTTCCACTTGGCGCCCCGTGTCCTTATATGGATGCCTCGTGTTCACTGTATCGATAGCTTCTCAATTTTGTTTTGATTCCTTCTTCCAAGCAATTCAAACTCCAATTAAGCATACAATTTAAACCCCAACAAGACACTAATAAAAGTATGAAATTATCATGCCCCTCTTATTAGTTTGACTTAATTACGTAAGCTTTCCCAATGATTAAAGCATCAATTGGTCATTAAGCTACCTAGCTGTAACGCCCCGTTCCTGGTACGTATTAATTTATTAAAATTCTTTTATAAAGAGCTACTCGACGAGTAGTAGTCCTAACTCGTCGAGTAGATGCCAGGTTGGACGCGGGTTTTAAGTGATCTACTTGGCGAGTCCGCGCCTGGACTCGACGAGTAGGCCAGTATGGATGAAACCCTAATCCTTAGGGTTTGTACCCTATTTAAACGTCCTTATAACCCCCATCCCAGCCTACAGCACCCTTAGAGCATTTCCCCCTTAAAACCCTAGCCTCCATTGGTGAGTTTGAGTGATTCCTTCTTGATTTTGAGTGTTTTGGTGTATTCTTGGAAGTGTAGAAGAGAAGGAAAGAGAGAAGGTGCAAAGGAGAAGAAGGAGATCCAGAAGCTAGCTTCCATTTGCTACTTCATTTGGTAATAAAGCCTCTACCTTGTTCATTTTCCTAGTAGATCTTCATATATGCTTGTTTTGCCATTTTTAGGACATTTCAAGGTCCAAACTCGAGATTGGAGCTCCCTTAGGGTAGTGAGCTATAGATCTGGACATCATTGAACCCCAGGAGCTCAAAGTAGCTACCTTTATGCAAAGCAAGGCCTTGTTCCAAACCCTTGGTTCCCATTTCTAGCTTATTTTGGTGTTTTAGCTTCATACCTCTATGCATGTACGTAAAGTTGGCAACTTTACGTGTTATATTGGCCCTCGAAGCTCAGATCTATGAATTGGATGCACTGGAATCGATTAGAATCAACTGTTTAGTGAGGAAATGCATAGGACTCGACGAGTTGTTCTTGGACTCGGCGAGTCAGAGCGCAAACTCCTGATTTCTCCGATTTTAGAGTTGTGAGTTGAATCAGCGAGTGGAAGAGGACTCAGTGAGTTAGAACAAGGATCTGGAAGTAGAGGGACTCGGCGAGTCTACGTCCCGACTCGGCGAATCGAGTCGCGAGTTAGAGAAGTGTGAGTCCGGGAACTCGGCGAGTTCATAGTAGGACTCGGCGAGTGGAGTCAACCAGGAAGTTGACTTTGACCAGGAAGTTGACTTTGACCAGGGGTAAAATAGTCATTTTACCCTGAAAACAGTTATCAGTATCTGATTTAGTGTTTATGGGATTCTAGTCGGGGAGTTCCGGAGCAGCAGTCAGCCAGTTTCAGATTTAGCATCTCAGCAGCCAGCGTTACGAGGTGAGTTTCCTTCTAGTAGGAACGGGTCTACCGCCACAATGTCGGCCCGTTTAGTTAGCAGTAGTTCCGGATTTCGGTATGATGCAGTAGTTTAGTGTGCTTGATGTCTTTGTGATTCAAGCATGTCTTTGCGTTATGTGTTCCGGGCTTCGGTCCGATGCAGTATGCAGTATCTGTGTTTATGCTAGTAGTTATGATTATGCTATGCTATGTTCAGTCAGTTCTGTACTTTGGTCCGATGCAGAGGGCAAGGCCCTGGTTAGTTCCGGACTTCGGTCCGATGCAGTTTCCGGACTTCGGTCCGATGCAGAGGGCAAGGCCCTGGTTAGTTCTGGACATCGGTCCGATGCAGTTTCCGGACTTCGGTCCAATGCAGAGGGCAAGGCCCTGGTTAGTCCCAGACTTCGATCCGATGCAATTTCCGAACTTCGGTCTGATGCAGTGGGCAAGGCCCAGTAGTTGATTTATATGTTATTGTATGGTATGTGTAGTTTGGGGGAGCTCACTAAGCTTTGTGCTTACGGTTTCAGTTTTTTGGTTTCAGGTACTTCCGCTAGTAAGGGGAAGAGCTCGGGATGATGGCATGGCACACACCACAGCTTCAGTTTATCCTGGGAGTTTTATTCGGATATTTTGATATGTTTTGACATCAATTGATTTGATAAACTTATTATGACATTTTGAGACGCATGATCCATGGATTTATCTTTTAATATTTGATATTATGATTTAGTAAAGTTTTCAAACGAAAATTTTTAGGTTGTATTTTTTGGATGTTACACTAGCATGAATAAGTATCCAATTCATCAAATGACTCGGTGTCTCTACCAACCACCTCCTCCATGGACATAAGTTAAAGTAGATTAATATATGCAAGCTTTTCAAGCTTCTCAAAATTCCAATCCATAGAATTGATCTCAAGAACATGTTTTCCCTCTTTTATTCCCATTTTTCCCTTTTGTTTCAACAATCACTAGAACCACACTAGGATGTCATGATTCTTCATGTTGACCTTTAATTCATAATCCAAAACATAGAGTTCATATTCCATATTTGCCCCCAAACTTCTTATATCACCAATTAATCACCATTAAAGTTCATATTCCATATTTGTCCCCCAAACTTCATACTCCAAGTAAATGATTTTACCATTGCTTGAATTGTGCTATTCTGTGGAGATTTGCAAGCAATCATTTCTCAATGGTCATGAAATCATATAAGGGTGAGATTATCACATCACCATTATCATTAGAAAATCTAGGATTTCTGGATATTTAGCAATTTCACCCAAATTCAACCATAGGAAAGTAGATTCGAGCTAGAAACTTACATAACCATCTTAGTTTGCTTAGAACACAAAACCCTATTCCTCAAATTTGATGAAAATCGGATTCAAAAAACAAACAACAAGTGAAACTCGGACTTCACACCAAAGGGGAAAGAAGTTATAGCTTAGGCCACTAGATTACTTCACAATGTGATCCAAATGAACTAAAAAAATCTTGAGATCGAATTGCATGGCCTCCTATGCTTGAACGCCATTTCTGCACAGCCTTCACGCCTCCCAATCGATCCCATCTACTGGATTGAAAGGTGTGAGCCTCTTATCTATGAATTATTTTTTTTTACTTTCTACCCCCTAATTTCGATGTTTTGAAAATTATGGCCCAAAGTTCTCTTAAGTGGAATGTAACTTTGCTAGTGTACATCCCAAGTCCTTCCCCATCCAAAAACATGAGCAACCTATTCCTAGGTAGCTAAATGGGTCAATGTAATGTCAAATTATATTTTGAGGAATTTGGCATAATTAGTCCCTATTTCTAAAGTACTGCAAAATTTTTATTTTTGATCTCTAAAGTATTTTACTATACTTCTAAAATTAATTATTCACTGTTTATTTTATATATATATATTATATATATATATATATATATATATATATATATATATATATATATATATATATATATATATATATATTGAAAAAACTTAAGCCTAGATTTCGAGATGTTACACTTAGGAAGAATCTATGAGACAAAGTACAAGAGACTGGTGACTTCCCTAAGGAGGCAAAACTTGGAATCCAAAGTCCTGATCGGTGAGGGAGAAAAATGGGTTGAAGAAGAGGAGTCCTTGGATAAAGAAGTAAAGAAGGATGTTTGTCTGATGGCATTCACTAACGAGACTTTCACTTATGAAGCAAGCAGAAGTTCAAGTACTTTTGACCGCAGATCTTTCAAAAGTTTTTAGTGATTCTAAGGCTTAGAATTGGAACTCCTCTTTATATATGGTTAAAAACTTTGTCACCTACTCTAATAATGAAAAGAATGTCATGTTTGATTCTTGAAAAATGATCTTTCAATCAATGAGAAGTCTCTTTCCCTTATGAGCTCAAAATTTCGACATTTCATTCAATTATTTTTCCATTCCATTCAATTATTTTTCATAAATTCCACAAAAGTCAATGAAAGTCAACCTTGGTTAGTACGCTCGGCGTACTCAACTCTACGTTGGACGTAGAGCGCGATACCAGAAAACGGGCCGTGTAGTCAGGCGTACGCTCAGCATACATAAGCTGTTCTCAAAACTTTCATGCAAAAAAATTATTAATCTTAAGACATCCATTCCAAACACAGATATGGCCCCTAAAGAACATCTTAATCCATAAATACCCTCCTGTCGATTCAAATTTTATTTTAATTTTTTCAAGATTTCATTCAATTAAATCCGACCAGAGAAGGGATGCATGGTTACCTGCAAAAATAAAAGATAATTTTCAAATCTCCATGCAGAAAACATAAAAATATTTATGATAAATTGATAACCAGCGAGTATTAATCCGCCTTACAAGTTAAAGGTCAAATCCCCATTTTACACCCATATATATGTCAGAAAAACATAAACGCGCGCAACAATACTTAAAAAGCTACATGCTCAAATCCAGTTCCTACTTCCTAGTAATGTTTTACGTACACATTGTATTCCACGATGGCATCCCCGGTCTTGGAATCAAACCAAACCGTATGCGCCAACGCATACCCAGTGGCATACCGAAACCGCCCACTGCCTCCGACAATCGGCATCTCCCTGACGTCCATCATCACCGGATTCCGGCCAAGGACACTGATACTACTCCCATTGAAGTCTCCTTGGGTGAACTCGTAGTTCAACACCATCAGCAATGACAGTTCTTTCTTGGCTGCAAATGCATACATTCCTTGCGCCTTTCCGACCACCTTTGATGACGCATCTTGGCCTTCTGTCAAAGCATTATCCATCATATATGTGTCGCCAAAGAAGCCTGGATCTGAGGTTCCGGCGATTTTGATTGCTGATGGGGTTTTGCCACTGTGGATGTCGTGGAAGAAGAAATGGAGCCGGGTTGTTTTCTCCATTCTTTTCATTGATATGGCTTCTGAAAGCTCCTCGGAGAAAATTCCATGAGAGGGATTTGAAAGGGATGAAAGGAGTATGAAGTAGAAGGTGATAGTAAAAGTATTTTTGAGAAAAGAAGCCATCGTAATTTGTGGGGGTTCCAAGTGGTTTCGAAAGTAGGAGTACGTTCGAGGTGATTTTATAGCAAACAAAGAAGTTACGAATAAATGTTGATTGGTTGAATACCTAGAAACTGAAATTAAACATTAACTAGAAAAGCAAGGAGATCGTATGATATCTTTTTTGACGTGGTGAAATAAGTCATGATGTTGAGCAAGTATGGGATTGCTTACGATTAAAGATCAAGTAAAGACTCTTTTTGACATGAGTATGTCCAATAAAGTAGATAAGTGTTTGGAACGATGAGTATGTGCTTATATATCTACTAAATCTCGTTTAAATTATACAAATACCTTATATATTTTTGGGTTTTAGTTGAATGAATCTAACCAAAGTTTTAAGAATTGATTTATCAAAGAGTTACATATTTATACTGCAAGGGACATTTATCTTATTTCAAAGACAAATTTGCAAAATAGTCTTTGTGGTTTGCAATTTTGTTTGGATAGGCTGAAAAACGTTAAAAAGACTAGGTTTCGTTGTGGTTCTGGTCTCTTTCAACTTGAAAAAGACTATTTTACCTATATTTTTTGTAACTTTTTTTCTATTTAATTTTAAATTTTATTAAATAAAAATATAGGACTCTCTCTCTCTCTCTCTCTCTCTCTCTCTCTCTCTCTCTCTCTCTCTCTCTCTCTCTCTCTCTCTCTCTCAGGTCTGCTCCCTTGAAATCAAACAGAACTGACTACTCATTTCTCACTTAATCGATGCCTTTTCAATGTCTCTTACCCCCACCATGTGTGCCTTCTTTCATACATGTAAAATATTGATGATAAAAGGCTTTCATTTTCTTATCCTTGTTGTACATGTGTGTGTGTGTGTTTATATTGTAGGTAACTCTATTCCAGGAAGGTTCTCTAAAGAGAATTGGTGAACCCCAGGTTATCGGTAAAAAAATAAAGACAGTTTTAGTTATATGCACTGCTTAAAAAATCAAAAATCGAATTTATGGATCTACAAAGATCGCGGGGCGTTGTTCTTGTTGCGACATGACCGGATGAATTCTAGATTTTTGGATTTTATCTGTTTTTCGAAATATTGGGATAAACCTCTTACTTTAAATATTATTTAATATTTTGAAACCTGAATACTCAATCTAAGATTAGTAATATTTTTTTTAAAACGGCTGAAAGTTAGATTAAAACAAAAAACTAGCAAAAGCTAGGAAATTACACAAAATAGCTACAAAATGGTTTGACAACCGGTAACCTATCTAGCAGAAACTTTTGAATTTTTGAAGATAAACCAATTAAACGAACAAACAACTAAATTATCAAAAATCCCATCTCTTCTCGGAGCCACCTCTTAAAAAATCAGACCATTCCTATATTTCCAAATTAACCAAAGCCTAACAAGGAGAATAGCCTCCATAGCATGATGTTTCCTAGCCCCACCTGACATACCATCAATTCGAGCAAGCATGTATGGCTTAACCAAATCAGACCAGATGAAAACTTTCCTCCATATGTGGGTCGCTAACTCACAAGAAATAAACAGATGGTCAAGACTTTCGATTGCTGCTGAACAAACCAGACATAATAAAACTGAACTTCAACCCCTTTGTGACTCAACTTCCATCTGGTGGGCAACCAGTCAAGAAGAGCACACCACAAAAGAAAATATTAACTTTTTTGGGAAGAAATCGGTTCCATCTAGTAGGAATAGCATTATCCGGAAGTATAACATTAACAATAATTCTTCTAGTCGTACAAACCGTAAAATCTTCTATATTCTCCAAATTCCATTTCCAATAATCAGAATCATTAGAGATTTGAAAATTTTCCAATGAGCCATTTTAACTCCTCAAACCGAGACTTAAGAACTCCACCACTTATTTGGCGAATCCAATTCCAATTACGATCGGCCCCTAAACGATCATGAACCGAACAATTTTTAACTGATTCCAATTGAAAGTCTTTGGAATCAAATCTTTAAGGGTATCTCACCAAGCCAAATATCAAACCAAAAACTTGTATTCCTACCATCGCCAACCTGTTTTTTCAAAGAAGAAAGAGGAACGATACCTTTCTCGTGCATGGTATTAATAGTAACAACTATCGGAGCCCAAACACCACCACCTCGACCATAAGTCACATCAAATGCATCTTTACTGTTTTCCCACATATATCAGATATAAGAGTAGCCCAAAACGCATCCGTCTCATCAACATAATACCACCTCCATTTTAACAACAAAGCAGAATTTAGCGCATCAAGACTGCCAATTTGAATCCCACCTTTTTCTTTAGAAGCAATAACCAAGTTCCAAGAAATCTAATGAGTTTTTTTTCATTTCCATCCGCACCCCAAAAGAAATTAGAAAGCAACGATTCTACCTTTTTTACCTGAACTGACATACGAAAAAATAAACAGATAAAAAGTACCTATCGAACCCAAAACTGAAGTAATCAAAATAGAACTCCCTCTAATAGAAAGCATATTAAACTTCCACCGAGATAACTTCAACTTGAACTTTTGAATAGTAGGACTCTAATTCAGGATGAACGACATAGAAGATCCCACTAGAAGGCCGAGATAGATAAACGGAAGATTTCCAGGACGACATCCTATGAAAGCAGCAAACGATCTAACTTGATCATCAGTCAAACCTACTCCAAACAAAGAAGACTTATGTAGATTGATCTTTAAACCTTAAACGGAAAAAAAAACACTCTAAAATCTGCACTAAAACTGCAACATGTAAAGCTTCCATAATAATGATGAATAAAAAGGGTGATATCGGATCACCTTGACGAAGCCCTCTCTCAATCTGAAACTCCAATGAAGGGATACCATTAATCAACACAAAAGCCTTTGTCGAATTCAAAGCACCTCAGACCCAAGGCACTGATTTGACCCTAAAGCCAAGAATCACCATCACTTGCTCTAAAAAATTCCAACCAACAGAGTCATATGATTTTTCAAAATCAATTTTAAAAATCAATAATTTTCTTTTTTTCTTCGTGCACCAATCAACTATTTTATTAACCATCTAAAATCTGACGCCCCTTCACCAAAGCAGATTGCTCCCTGGTGACCACTTGCAATAAGAGTAATAAATGAGGAATTGCATCCACTTGGAATCTTCCCAATAACAAAAAACTCCTCTACAAATTCCATTATATCCACTTTTAAAAGGTCCCAATATTTTTAGTAGAATGCAAACATAAATCTGTCAGGACCCAAGGATTAGTTTAAATATAATTTGAATAAGAATTTAAATCTGAATATTTAATTATTTAAATTTGGAAATATGTTTAAATTAAATTTTAAATTCAAATATTTATTTTTTAACATTATTTAATAAGATAAAAAAAATTAGAACATTTAAAAGATTAAGCTATCAAGTTACAATGTTTAAATTTATTATATGGTATGATTACTATATGTATGACAAACTTCCAACATGTTTAACTAAAACATTATGTTCAAACCATGGTTAGGCTCACCCACTGTAATGCTTTAAGAGAGGTTTAAGGAGGCTTTAAGATTTCTAATGTGGTCATTTTTAAAAGCTCACGGTTTACCACCCTAACTGTCTCTTTGCATTTTTAAAGTAGATTTACTGAAAGGGTTTTGATTGGATAATGTTCAAATTTAAAAGTAATAATCAAAGTAATAAAACAAAATTCTCGTTTCATATTAAAAACGTGAGTCGTATGTTATCCAGGGAGTGGGCCTCGCTAGGAAGGTCGCCATCGGTTGCCAACGGCACTGAACACCGCCCCCTGGCTTGGTTCTCCAGCCAAGCCTCACCAATCGCTTGGAGAGAGAGAGAGAGAAAAAAAAATGGGAGTAAAGGTGTTTAGTTGGTGGTTGAATTTTGATATCTCTCTTCTCCACACACCGATTAACTTGATATCATTTCAATGTATAACGTTTGGTCCAGGTATTATTTATTTCTCAACATTTTGGGGTTCTGGGCTGGAACTCGACGATTTAGGGAGCTCCAACTCATCATGTAGGGATCTATTTGGACGTGCAGATTAAGCACCCAACTCGATGAGTTGGGAGCCTCAACTCGACGAGTTGACGCTGGGGATGAAAACCCTAATTTTTCGGGATTTGTACCCTATTTAAAGGACTTAACCTCTAGGACTGGCCTCCTTACTAGCCTCATTGCCCAGAGAAAAACCTAGAATCGCCTCCCCCTCTTATTCATTGAGTTTTGTGAGTGTTTGAGTGATTATTGAGATCTTTGAAGGAGGTTTTGAAGAGTGGAGTGTCAAGATTGGAAGGGATATCTTGGATCCAGAAACTCTACATCAAAGGCTGGATCTTGGAGGTATAAAGTCATAACCTTGACATGTAGCTTATTAGATTTCATCTTTTGTAGTTTAGGGATTGGTTTTGGGACTTTGGCTTGGATGTCCAAAGAAAAGAGGTTTCCAGAGGTTGAGGGTGTAGATCTAGCCTCTATAAGACCTCTAGAGGATTAAAGTTGCAAACTTTAATAGCCTCCATGTCCTATTCATACAATATGTCCACTATGAAGCCTAAAATGGACTTTGGAGAGTGTTTCAAGCATGCATGGACGTAAAGTTAGAAACTTTACATTATTTGTCCACCTTTGGACATCAGATCTGTGTTTTGGGACGATGGGATGAAAATTTCAGGGCTTGATGAGTCAATACCCTCCTTAAAGGAACTAGGGTTTGGGTTTAGAGCTTATTACATTATCATTGGGGGTAAATTTGGAAACTTTACCCTTCTAGACATCTCTATGAAGGGGGATCTGAAGTTTGGAACCTTTGAATTCGAGAAAAAGGGCTTAATGCATTAAGTGAGTTGACAGACTGAAGAACTCGACGAGTTCACAAGGGAACTCGGCGAGTTGGGTTGGAGTTACCTTGATTCTATTGGAAAACGGGGGAACTCGACGAGTTATAGGAGAACTCGACGAGTTGGATCGCAACATCGCGATTTTGGCTTTAGGATGGACTCGACGAGTTACATGGATAACT